AAAGAGATCTGCACACATCACACATGTTTATATGTAGCCTTATTTCCTAAATATCCAGTATTACACATTTATCAGTTCACATTTTTCTACCTTAACCCCATACGTCTGTTTGTTTAGCATCCTCCCATCTGTTTTACAGTGTGCAAATCAACCAGTCACTCTGGGAAATGTATTGCTGCTTTGTCTTGGAGTTGTACAGTCATCTTTTAGTCAGTTAGCAACCTAGACCTCTAAAGAGTATAATGAAAACCTGCTTTTGTGTGTTATCATCCCATTAAATCATCATTATAAGTTGTCATCACTGCCTGCACCTAGTTGTAGGCTCAATAGGCTGTTATCACTTCGTGGAGTTGGTGCAGCATTGCTTAAATGACATAATGAGCATGTTTCCACTTTGAAATAACAACACAAGTCGACATATGGAGGTTGGAACCAGAATGTCACCCAGGAGTACGTGTGTGATACTTGATTTTTCATTGTTTTAGACTCGTTGTTTTTAATCTGCTTTACATTTCAACTTTACATTTGCCTGCACGACCTTTCTGTCTCATGCCTTGCACACTTTGACTGGATGATGCCTGCTGAGATTTTTTTTTTTACATGTGATTATTCAAATAACCTCAAAATTGCTGACTCTACTAGATTGAAGAGTGTCCTTGCAGACCCGTGGGACATTTTCAACTCCTTTCACCTCAGCTGACCCAGAAATGCCACAGTGAAACAGAAAGACAGAGCTGAAACCCAAGTCAAGCCACGGCCATTTGTTTGCATCTCAGCCGATATGCGCTCACCTCGCTGTTCTAGAGCAGGAATCTGAACTGCTTTCACACATGCCTACACTCTGCTCTCCAGCCTTGCTGCTTTTCCCATTAATTCCTCCAGTCAATCTAGTCCTACATCAGCTTGTCATCACCCGCCACAATTCCCCCTCAACTATGCCACTCAGGACTAATCACGCTCCCACATTTCAGTCACTCTGACGCCTGCCCCTCCAGTGTTTGGCCACTAACCTGTCGACATGCAGACGGCCGCCTTTCAAGTCTCAAACAAAGGTAGAGCAGGCATGGCCCGTGGTGACCCATATCTTATGAAGTATGTGCTTGGTTAAGGAAGAATTTTATGCACCCAAAGACCATGTACGTGCAAGACTTGTGAAAGCATTCATCCATTGATGCCTGCTGACTTCGTTTTGTCTGCCAATCCTTTCCTCTGTCATTTTTCTTATATCTGTAAGGCTGCCTTTCTCTGTCCTTCCCATCTAATTTCTCTACCTCCTGGTCTTTCCTCCCCATCCCATCACTCCCATGCACATTCCTGTCTCCCTGTTTCTAGCTTTTTCAGCTTTTCCAACTTGTCATCTAGCATCTCTCTCTATCTAGTCTCTTTTCAGAGGCCTTGGGCTTACTCTAGCATCTCCCACTCCTGTTTATGATGGTGGAGGCTGAGGGAGGGGAAGTCAAGCCCACTGTGAAATATGGAGGCTATTATAACACGGCTGGCATCTGTGCCTGAGGTTTGAAGGTGTAGAGGTGTTAAAAGTGTAAAACTGTTCAAACATAAATTTTAAATGAGAGTCAGTGCAGTGGGTGCACAGCTGTAGCCCACTCAGTTTCCTTTGTTATTCTTTGTTTTGTTTTTTTAGTTTGCCAGCAAAATCCTGTGGGAGCTTAAAATAGCAAATGGAATCACTTACATACAGCATAAAAATATGATTTAGTCGAGCACTTAAAAAAAGGGTCAATCTTCATTTCTTTAATTAAAGTTATTACTTTTTTTTTTTTTTACTATTCCTTCAATCCCAGAGTTCCAGTGTCATTAATAGCTCATTGCTGTTGCATTAAGGAGGATGAAAGTAGGAGAGGCAGACATGCGTAGGAGGTGGGAGACCATGATTGAGGTCTCCTTGAAAGGGCTGGCAGAGTCAGGAAGTGATTAGGCCACTACAATACCCCCAATAATGACAATAGAAAACATGCTCAGAGCCATTTATGTGGAACCAGTGTGGTTCTGATTTCACTATGAGAGCAGGGGAGGACGGTCACATGGAACAAAAGACAGAAGAAGTGAGGTGTTGCCCACAGAAGGGTTTTAGACCATGGGAAAGCAAGCTGAAGGCTTACTTGTTACTTTAGCTGCCCTGTTTTCTTGCCATGTCTGGATCCTGTGCAGTAAATTGACGGCAGATTTGCTTTTTGAGATTCATTTTTAGAACAAGCAGAATTTAATTTTCACAGAGAGGTTGACAAAAGAAGTTCTGACATGCAGCAGAAAGAAAGTGATCGTTTTGAGGCTACCATAAGTCCTGTGTCAATCAAACGACTCCCTGTGAGCATGCGCTTGGCGACAGTGGGAAGGAAAAGCTCCCTTTTAGCAGGAAGAAAACTCCAGCAGAACCAGGCTCATGCAGGGTGATTCTGGTGCTGGGAGGAAGGGGAGGAAGACAGAACAAAAAACACACTGTGGAAGAGAGCTAGAGATGAACAACAACTAATGATTAAATGCAGAATGGTTTGTAAGCACATGGTGTATACAGCCGAGTATAAAGATTTTTGATACTAGAATAACCCCGTTTAGATTAGAAAAAACAATACTGGACAAGTAAGTCAAAGTCCAGAGTTTATTTATTCTGATTATTATCATTATTCTTCTTCCATCTTGCCTCGCAAGTTTGAAAAGAACCTCAAAAAGTTATATCAGAACGTGTGATTCGATTAAGAATGTTTTCCTATTACTTTGGCAGTAAATTCACAAAAATATTTTACATGGCAGCTTCAGTAAGGTGAATAATGACATGTAAAGGACGCCAGTCAGTGTTTTGGGCTTTTAAAATAAAATACTCTCGATGATCTACCAACAAAATATTTCAAATACTTCTCACAAGCTCCAAAGAGTATTCTTTCCTTCTGATGTCTCTCTTGACACATCCTTTCAGCTCCTATTGCCTCCTTATAGCCGACCCAGTTTATTCAGAAATTTTTTTGGTGTTTTGCTTTTAATGTTGCAGGAGGAAATGGAGTGAACATTCAATTGTGTGTTAGACAAACCTGTGGCTAGCATGTCCCCAACGTAAGAGAAATATTAAACTGAAATTGCAGAGTGCATGGGAGCTGCTCTCAGGACACATCCGCTTTATGGTTGACTATCACACAGTAGAAGTGGATTACGAATATCGATATTATCAATACCAGTGCTGATATTTGTATCGGATCGATACTAGCACCAACTGAGCAATCTTTTTATTTTTTCCAGTTTGTAGCCACTGAACTGTGTTAAATGTATTTCCTTTATTTGAGAGGAAAAAAAGAAACAACCTCAAACATGCACTGTGAAAAATGTCTGAACCTTTTTGTGCTGACTGTCATGTGTTTTGGATTTATAGCCTATGGCGCAATGAAACAAAAGAAGCTGACCCAGAGTATTTTAGGGACAAGCACATTTAATTCAGTTCAATTCAGTTTTGTTTATACAGCACCAAATCACCCACAGAAAAACCCAACGATCATATGACCCCTATGAGCAAGCACTTTGGTATATAGCACCAAATGACAACAGTCGCCTCAAGGCGCTTTATACTGTAAGGTAAAGACACATCAATAATAGGGAGAGAATCTTAACAATCATATGATACCCTATGAGCAAGCACTTTGGTGACAGTGGCAAGGAAACTCCCTTTTAACAAGAAGAAACCTCCGGCAGAACCAGGCTCAGTGAGGGACAGTTACATTTCAGGTCTCCAAGTTTCAGAATGCATGAAAAACTGAAAGGTGTGTTTTATTGTAGTAACTCATTATTGTGAAAAGGAAAACCCACAGTGATTTAGTGATCAGTATAGATCGATGCCTATATTTGCAGTATCGCTCGCTGCTACCACACAGTTGATGTGCATCAGCATTGACGGGAGCTTATCCTGATATCCTGATAGGGCAGTAGGCAAAAAGAAGCAGTTTGCATGCATGTTGAAGTGTCCTTAGCCAGAATCCTAAACCCAAGTTGCCTCATGGATACATCACAATGTGAGTGTACATTTTAAACAAACAGCTTAAAGACATCGGACATGTGAATGCATATGCTTATGGGTGAATGAAGGGTGCAGAAGAAAAATACTTTGAGACCTCTCTACTTAAATAAATAAGCCCACAAAATATACTCAGCCTGTAATATTCTGCTTGGGTGTAATGTAATTAGCTATAACACTGTGGCAAACTGTGCTAAAAAATTTCAGTGTAAATTAGAGACTAATTAGAGACTACAAGCTGGTCTGCTATGCACCAAGCAGCCTGCTTGGTGCATAGCACATATGGAGAGAACTTGGAAAACCTTTTGTGGCTAGCTTCAGCTTTTAAGCCAAATGGGAAGCTTGAGTGATCTTTCTGAGCCTGATCACAACCTTATTTTTCTTTGGGGTGCAATCAAGTGCACTAGTTGTAAGAACAGTACCTCTGTGAAATCACCGAGCAAACACTGACGCAAATCAATGGAAGTGTAGAAAATGACTCTTCTAGCAGCATGAGGTCTAACGTCTCACATCATCTCCCGTTCCTTCTGTAGCTTTCTTCCTAGTTTTCCAAGCTTGGCAAGAATTCGCCAACAATGACAAAAAAGCTTTTTACTAGAAAGGTCACAGTGGAGGCTGCATCATAACAGGACCAGAGGAAAGTTGCTGCATGAAGGCCAGAGATGAATGTGATATTCGCCCAACATGAGGGGAAGAGTCTTGTAGACACATGAAAGTCTTTGTCCAGCCAAACTGAAAGTCACAGAGTGCATTTAGCTCTAAAGAAATCTTTTTCTGTCATTTTATTTTTGTTTCTCGCATCTTAAACTGAAACTACATGTGCAATTTGTACGCTGACATTTTAGCTCTCTGCCAGCTCGTACGCATTTGATGCCAAACAGCGCTCGAGCAGCAGAAGCGAAACGGCGAGTGAGGTTGAGTCATTTTCTACTCATCCCTGCGGTGCTGATTTTGGCAATTCATCGCTCTGTCTGTGTTTCCACAGGGCCTCCAGGAAAACGTGGAAGGATGGGAAGAAGAGGGGAACCTGGTAAGTAATGCCCATCAAATCATTTAACGGTTTATTTTTCCTTTTAACCTCTTTTCCTGGAAAACACACACTTTTTTTTTCTTCATCGCACTCACACACCATCCCTCTTTTCCCTGTGTGACTGGGTAAGTTCGAGGCAAGGGCCCAGCAAAGGCAGTGATCCATGAGTCAGGCCACTGGATGATGGGCTTCAGTTGGCCCTTCTCCCTGTCCCTTTCCATTTGCGCCGACATAGTGCTAACTCTGGCCATGTGGTTCCACTAACTTTGCCCAGATGTCAGTCGTTCTTGCTGAGCGGTAGCAGCTGCTGTAGTATGAGCCTAATGAGTCTGCCTCGCCAACATCGCTACCCACCATTATGGTGCTGCTTTTTCAATCGATCCAAACCACAAAAACACTCCACGAGGAACCAAAACAGAGCAAGGACATAAGTCTTGTTTCACAAATGTCATCGTGAAAGATGGAGCGGATGTTGTACAAGTCTCACTCATCCCGTTTTTTAAATGTTTCTTGTTAAAAGTGGGCTCCACGACAGTATTAGGCAATTTTATCAAAACCTGCAGGATATGTGTCACTGTCGTAAAATTTCCATTGTGGTTGTGAATCACTGAGGTGGATGTTTACAGATGGGATCTGTTCTTGTGAACACGGTGACTAAGTGAAAGATCATCAGTGATCCCTTTCTGCTTGTCTGCTTACTTTATTTTATCTGATCAAACGTCCATCTTTTAGGTGACGGGTCGAGCAAAACGTCCCATAAATCTCGACTCGGAATTGCATGTTTTTTTTTTCTGTTCTAGAGGGCGGCCAAACAGTATATTTCTGTTTTCTAGAAATCGCAGCAGAAGGTGAACACCATCAATGTGTTAGTCTCTTGCCGGCATGAACGGCCTGTGTGTGGTTTGCGCAATTTGGTTTTCTTTGGAGATGCAAATCTTAAGTCTTAATCTTACCGTTTACAGAGTTTCACTCATTTTCTGAAACTACTAAAAAAAACCAAGAAGTGAAATTACATTTGTTAGGGTCAATTTGCTGTGGCAGATTTGGTGGACTAGTAAGTGTTCACGGCAGCGTTACGGTCTCAGCGGGACTGACCCAGTTTACCATTATACCTTACTCATGTTTTTAATGGATTTTGGAGAGCAGTAGTGACCGGTCTCAAATCTCGATAATCAGTTTACTGTCTAACTAAATTTATATTAGCATAAAATGTGGAAATCCCTTTGGGTGTTCTCCAGGTCCGTTTAATGGAAACCTCATCATTACGAGCAGGAGTGGGGAATTAATTTAAGAAACTGGAACTGTTGTGGAGGCCCACACCCTTGGGAAAATTAATTACCCACCCCTGATTTGGAGGATGTGTGCTGCTAAGGTTTCAGCCGAGAGTGGACGCCTATTTGAGGCAGATGGTCCGTGTCTGAAGGGCCGTCGTGGTTCTGTTTAGGCTATCGCTTGTATTTTTTAGTCTCTCATCCTCACATTGCATCCTGGCTCAGAGCGAGTACGTATATTAAATGGAGAGGCTGTTTCGCCATCCTGATGCTGATGACTCCAGGACAACATTTTAAAAGGCCAGAAGAGGTTTCTCTTCTCTCCTCCATTCTCTCAGGGAAAAAAACAAACTAATGAGAGTGGAGAAGGGAGCGCACAAACATGAATAACAGGAAAGAGGGCAGACAGAGTAGTTACGCATCTTAAAATCAGCCCTCGCTGTCGTCTTCTCTCTTACATGCCTCGTTTTTTTTTTCTTTAAATTGTTTCCTTTTCTCTTATGTTTGCTCCTGCGTCTCTTTCTTTCTCAGTAGTCTACAAGCACATATACACACCTGTCCCAAGTTCAGTAGTTAAAGCTTGTCTTTCTGTGTGGCTTTCCAAGCTAGTGTGTTTGTTTGCCTAACCGTCTGGCCCGGGAGGTCCCCGTCGAAGCATCCAGACACAGATAAACTTTCATCCCTCATGAACCTAAACGCCTCCCTCCTCTTCTTCTTGACACATGCTCGCCGCTAAAACATGCATTTTCATCTCTCTCTACGTATGCAAAGCTCCTGCTGAATCAAAGAGCCCACTTCAAGGCCATAATAGAATCTGTTCATGTTAACAAGGATTTTTTTTGTGTGTGTTTTAAGGAGAGCCTGTTTTCAGTCTTGCTGACTTTATGTTGGTGTTTGATGTCGTACTCATGCTGATGAGGTATGCTGTACTGAAGCCGCAAAGGTGGCAGAGCCCCAAGTGACATCATACACTATAAGCTGCATTAATCAGCATCATTATCGGTTTTATCGGATAGCATATTAAGGAATAGCTAATAAAAATTCTGCTAATGATGCGTTCACTTTGTAGGGATTTAAGTGATTTAATAGTGCTCCTGGTCTTAGCCTCGGACTTTAAGGAGATTATAAAAATAAAAAAAAGGCCACTAACAACAAAAGGAGTTCTTTGATCATTACTTTTGTTTTCTGTTAGGCAAAGAATGAAAAGCTGAATGTAGTTTTGCTGCTGAGGCTCAACATCAGAGCATTTCAATCACGACAGAAACACTGCCCTGGAGAAATCTCAGAAGCATCTCATTCTTTTTCTCCCCCCACAACTTTAAAGGGACAGACAGTTTGCCAGCACGCCCCGACCTTTTTACTCGCTGTTTTTCCGCCATCCAATACGCCCTTATTTTCTTAAGAAACAAAGTCCTGACATGACTTCATTTCCTAATGCAAAACATGACCCATTATCCAGCAGTCTGTTTATCATAACGGGTTCACCACAAACTGCGCTGGCGGCAGTTCTAATATGTTTGTTCTGTACTGTATTTAGGTGGTTAATTGCAGCCATCATCTAACGAACCACATTGCATGTGCAGGTTTTTTGTTGTTTTGTTTTTTTTGTTGCAGACCACTGTTCAGAGGAATTGATTGCTATATAAACCAGAGCCTGCTGCAGCTCTCGTGTTTTGTTTTTTGTGTGTGTGTAGACTTGTAGCATTTACTTTCTAACGCTTGGTTTCTCTTTTGTGTTGCAGGGCTTCCTGTAAGTACCATTCCACCTCATCCAGGTAGTATGGAAACAAACTAAAGAGAGGTTTCAACATCAGTCACGCATGCACACGCATCCCCCTTGTATCATCCCTCGCTGTGAGTCCTGCACGGCCCGGCAAACTGCGGGAGTTGCCAGGAATCCTTTCACTCACAGACATACAGACTGTCACAGACTCACTCGCACATGCATCCACAGAGAACGCCAATAAATGGACCACCTGTGCATGTGGGTGTCCATGACTGTGTGTTTGAGTCTTTCATGGTGATGGTTAGGGAGGTGTGACTTATTTGCAGTGAGTTATTCTCCTCTGTGGGACTGTAACTCCTGCTGACACTCTGACACACTCGGGAGATAAAACACACCGTTACTCAAAGCCTTGTACAGAGTGGAAACTGATGCAGCTGCCTTCAGATTTGTTTTTTGTTTTGTTTTCCATCTGCATTTTAAATGTCCAATTTCAGTTTTTATTCCCTTCTTTTTTTTATTAAATTGTCCCATGTGGCACTGATCAGATATGCAGAATTGGAAATGCTCTGAAACGTACCGTGACGAGCTTCCGGACACATCAGAACAAAAACAGCATGTCCGGCCAACCGGGATTTGTTCGATTGGTCTGCATCTGATCCACACTAGGCGTGCATGAAACAATGTCTTCTCTTAAAGACCCCCACAAAACTTACAGCCTAAATCTCATAAAGTTGATGGGAAGGTGTGGTAATC